AGGTGGCATGGTGGTTAAGGTGCTGGACTCCCACATGGCTGACCATGGTTTGAGTCCTAGACCTGGCAGCTTGCTTTCTCACATTCCCTCTCTCTCTCCCTCTGTCTCTCTCTGGTCAAATTAAATAATAATAATAATATTGATGAATAAAATTAAATAATTATTTAAAAATTAAATTGATAAAGGTCATGTAGCTACATGAAAATGTTTATTATATAAAGGGAAAAAGTCAGATATATAGTCTTGGAGGCCAGCAGATGGCATAATGGTTTCATCAGTGGACTCCCATGTAATCAATCACAGTTCAAGTCTCTGACCCGATGACTTAAAACTCACACTGGGCGTGTGTGCGTGCATGCCCAAAGTCCCAAGAGGAGAAGGGACTGTGGTGTGGCCATCCCCACTGTGGGGGTGATGTCTCAGTTTCTGTCTCTCTGCCTCTCTCTCTGTCACTCTGGCCAGCACACGTGCCCTATAGCAGAAATCTCTCTCTTAAAAAAAGGAAACAGATACATAATCATGATAATGCACTATTTAAACTGTATAGTTTCCATTTCTAAAATATGTATTGTTTAGACAGTGGACCCCCCACATGGCGACTTGAAAATCAGGACAGGCACATGTGTATGTGCAAAATACTGAGGAGAATGAAGGAGAAGGGACTGTGGCATAGTCATTCCCCGAGATGCTTTCTCACTTTCCCTCTTACTGTCTCTCTCTCTGTCTCTTTCAGGTGAGTGCACATAACCTCAGGCAAGAACCTAAAAAAAAAGTGTATTGTTTTCTACTCTGCCTCTTTTCATACCGTCTTATTTATTCTTTTTTTTTTTTTTTTTTTTCCGTTTTTTTTTTTCTTTTTTTTTTTTTTTTTTTTTTTGCTATAGGGCGCATGCACTCGCCCGAAAGAGAGAGACAGAGATAGAAAATGAGAAATCATCCCTCCCAGGGGGGATGGCCACGCCACAATCCCTTCTCCTCCATTCTCCTCTCAGAATCTTGGGCACACAAGCACATGTGCCCAGCATGAGTTTAAGCCACTGGGTCCGGGACTCCAACTACAGTCAGCTACATGGGAGTTCAGTGACATAGCCATTATGCTAACTACTGGTCTCCCCATCTTATTTATTCTTTTTTTAAATTTTTAAATTTTTTTTAGAATTACTTTATTTATCATTATTATCATTATTATTTTCCAGTTTGATCAGAGAGAGACAGAGGAAGTGAGAAAGCAAGCCGCCAGGTCCGAGACTTGAACCGTGGTTGGCCATGTGGTAGTCCAGTGCCTTTGACCACCATGCTACTTGCCAGCCCCCATCGTATTTATTCTTTATTAGCATCTCAAACATACCTACCTGAACAAGTTTTTGCAGATTGTTCTCAAGGTACAGATTCTCTGGGCTGTTGGGCATTTATTTACCACTTTTACTGGGATAATTGGTTGCGTTTGAATCGAATGTGAATGTTGAATTTACACAGAGCTCAGTTCCTAGGAAGGGCCTGAGCAGCACCTCTCACACTTAAGGGGCTAAATACCTAGCCCCACCCCCTAAATCTAGTTCTATGCCAATCACACCTGTGGGTTACACTCTCACAAATTACTAGGGCATGCTTTCTTTCTGGGACCTAAACTTCCTGCCTCCAAACTCTACCATGCACTAAAAAGAAAATAATTGGAACCAGCAGCTGGTGTAATGGTTATGCTGCTGGACTCCCACATAGTCAACTATAGTTCAAGTCCTGGACCTGGCAGCTTAAAACTCATGCCAGGCGTATGTGTGTCTGTGCCCAAAATCCCAAGAGGAGAATGGGGGAGAAAAGATTGCAGCATGGCCATCCCCACTAGGGGATGATTTCTCACCTTCTGCCTCTCTGTCCGGTGAGCGTATGTGCTCAATAGCAAAAATCTCTCTAAATAAATAAATAAAATAATTAATACTTTACCCATCCATCATTTGTTTGTAGTGGGATGTCCAAGCTTCCATTTTGACCGGAAGTATTTACTTTTACTGCAACTATTTAGAAGTGTTTGTGAGTATAATCAAAGACTAGAAGGGACTTTGAAAATGAAATGAGATGGCGGGTTCATAGAAACTGTCTTACTCTATCAAACGTTCTATATTGTCATGTTGCTTTGAATCAGTAATGATAAGAATCATCTTTTTAACTATTGTCTTTCATTTCAGAATGCATATACTGCAACTGCTATTAATGGGACAGATTTTTGTACATCAGGAAAAGATGCACTGAAGATCTTAACCAAGAATTCAAGACATTTTATATCTGTTAACAGCTTTGGAGACTTCATAATTTTTCTAGGAAAGGTGAGATACCTTGACTAAATAAAGAGACTGGGATTCAAAAAATTAACCCAAATGAAAATTAGTTTGGAAGGGAACTAATATTTCTTACATGCTTACCCTTAAGTAGATGCTATACTTCATTATCTCATTTAGTCCTCAATCCTGTGAGGTATCCCTATTTTGTAGATAATGAAACTGAAGTTTAATAACTTGTCCAGGACTTTAAACCTGGTCTTATTCTTACCCGTGACCAATTCTAATATTCTGACTCCCACTCTTCCATGTCTGAAATGCTATTAACTCCAAAAAAAATGAATGTATTTTTTAAATTATTATTTTTAGGTTTTTGTCATAGGGCACATACGCTAGCTGAGAGAGAGGTAAAGCGAGAAATCCCCCACCCCCCCAGGGGCTATGGCCATGCTACAATCCCTTCTCCAATCTCTTCCTGAAATCTTGGGCATGTCCCTGGTGTGACTTCTAAGTCACTGGGTCTGGGACTCAAATCGTCATTGGTCATGTGGGAGTCCAGCACCTAAACCACCACACCATCTGTTGGCCCTGTGTGCGTGTTCTCCTTATTGTGCCTATAAATAAGATAATATTGTTACTATTCTAAAAGGGGCCAGAGTCACATTACCGCTGTCATCTGAACAGTGTTCTGTTGTTGTTCAGGGAACTGTATGTAGTCTTGTGGGATGAAGGAGCATTTTAGAACCCCAACATCTCATGGTGTGAATGAAGGACAGAGCCCTAGACTTGGAACCTTTCACAGCTCTGAACTTCAGTTTTCATATCTATGAATAAAGATGGCTCGTACCCTTTCTGAGTTTTAGGGAACAGTAGCTAAAATGCTGATTAAAAGCCCCAGGCCCTATTGACCATGCTTCAAGTCTGAAGTTTCTATGTGCCTGTGTGTCTCTTTCTATGTGATTTTCACTCACTGGGCCTAATTCTCCACAATACAGGTTTGTAATATAGGATTCACCTACTTCCAGCTCTCTGCTCTTCAGATTAACCGCAGACACCCTGACCTTCCCACCATGTTTTCTCTATTCCAAGCTAAACATCTTTGCTTCTTTCAATTAACCCTCCACATCTGACACGAATACAAGTCTTTGGTGTGCCCAGAAGTGAAAAAGCTCTTGGTCTCCAGTTGTGACCTGGCCAATGCCAAATATAGGGACTCTTTGCTCTGCATTGAGGATCTTGTGCTTCTGAGGTATTTTCTGTATGCCTCCGGTGCAGTACTATTCATAGTTGGCTGTGAGTAACAAGTTATGGAAGGCTTGGACTCCACAGGTGTCTGTTAATTGCACATGTACTAAAGGCTCAGCTGGGCCCGAGACGTTTCAAATGTCAGTAGCAATAGAAGCACAAAAGAATTGTGCCTTTCAAGAGAGTATAATCTATTTTGTAGTTGTATTTAAATAGAAAATATTGTTTGTTAGCTTGATAGGCTTGTGGGTGATCTACGAGGTTGTTGGAAAAGTCATGACGTATTTTTGTTTTTCTTTGCCAAAATGCTTCATGACTTTTCCAACAACCCAATATTTCCTTAGAACTACTTCCAAACTTTGGAGTGAGGTTTTATCATTTAAATATTTTTGCTAATCCATTCTCTTACATTCCCCACAAGGAATATATTAAGGCAAATGGGCCAATGAGGTTTTTTTGTTTGTTTTTATGAGAGATTTTTGCAATAGGGCATGTATGTTCACTGGAGAGAGAAAGCAAGAAGTCACTCCCCAGAAGGGATAGCCATGCCACAATCCCTTCTACTCCATTCAGCCAATGAGTTCTTAACGAGTATTCGATAACCGACGGCTCCTTGGGCTTATTTTGTTTTGTTTTTTGAATAAACTAGCATTGAGACCTCCTTGCTCATCTCTGTGAACATCGGGAGCAATCATCCCCCAGCTGGACTCCATTACATCTGGTAAAGAATTAGGTACATCATGGCCTGTAATCAAGTGCCTGGAAATCTAGTAATTACATATAGCAAAAGCCTGGAATAATCCTAGTATCTCCCCACACCAGCACTGCAAAACCTTTCCATTTCAATCGCAAGTAAGCTAATTTTTAAACTATAATGCCCAATTCACTCAATGGATTGCTGCAGTGTTTAAAAAGGAAAAAATTTTGGGAACCAGCAGTTAGCATAATGGCTATGTCGCTGGACTCCCACATAGTCGACCGCGGTTCGTGTCCCGGACCCAGTGGCTTAAAACTCACGCCGGGCACGTGTGCGTGCGTGCCCAAGATCCCGAGAGGAGAATGGAGGAGAAGGGATTGCGGCGTGACCATCCCCCCTGGGGGTGATTTCTCACTTTCTGTCTCTATGTCTCTCTCTGTCTGTCTGGCGAGCGCACGCGCCCTACAGTGAAAATCTCTCAAAAAAAAAAAAGTTAAAAATTTTGTGGTTTTAAGTGAAAAAGATTTTGTGAGGTATTATATGTATATAAAAATGAAAACTAAGCAGATAAAATGTAATTCTATGTACCCCTGTTAATTGAGTTTACTTTTGATCTCCTCGCTTTTCAGTTTTCCTTCCACTCCACTCTGCAATTTTTTTTTTTTTTTTGGAGGTTTTCGCTAGAGGGCGTGTGCACTTGCCAGCCAGACAGAGACAAAGAGGCAGAAAGCGAGAAATCACCCCCCCGGGGGGATGGTCACGCCACAGTCCCTTCTCCTCTTGGGATCTTGGGCACGCACGCACACGCGCCCGGCTTGAGTTTTAAGCTACCGGGTCCAGGACGCGAACCACGGTTGACTACGTGAGAGTCCAGTGACATAGCCATTACGCTAACTGCTGGTCCCACCCACTCTGCAAATTTTTATACAAGCATTCTTTACCACAGGGCATGCTTGTGCACGTGCACACTCCCACAGATATGAGACCATTCCTTAAAACTGACACAGCCTTTTATAAACTATCCTGATCAACTAATTTAGAGAGTAATATCTTTGTTTTGTTTTGGACAGGTGTTAGTGGTGTGCTTCACAGTGTTTGGAGGACTGATGGCATTTAACTACAACCGCGTGCTCCAGGTGTGGGCCATCCCTCTGTTACTGGTAGCTTTTTTTGCCTACGTAGTAGCCCACAGTTTTTTATCTGTGTTTGAAACTGTGCTGGATGCCCTTTTCCTGTGTTTTGCGATTGATCTGGAGACAAATGATGGATCATCGGAAAAGCCCTACTTTATGGATCAAGAGTTTCTGGTAAGGAAACATTTTATTTCCTATTGCCACCTCCAGCCTCACAGCCTCCTGTTGAAAAAAAAAAAAAAAACACACACAGGCTCACTCCCAGCCTCATTTTCTCTTCCACGGGGCCCTGTGGGCTTCCACTACCATGGCCTGAGTACGAGCAGAGAGATTTGGGTCTCGCTGAATCCTCCTTCCCTGGGGAAGTGAAGCTGAACAGATGAACACTGATCAGATGGCTTCCTCAGTAGGAGCACCGCCAATGACCATGGGCAGAAGGCGTTCTGAAGAACACAGCAGTAATCCATGTCCCTCTGGTGCTATCAGCTCGGTTTGGCCTCTTGAGTGGCCTGGAACTTACCTTTTGTTCTAGAGTACTTGCGTCCCAAACATTGTCATCCCCACCATGTGTTAGAGCGCACTCACCAGTATAGACTAAATCATCTTCCACACCAGTATTGACAGATCTGCAAGTCTCAGATGCTTTATAACCCAGGTTCCCAGGCTCCCAGGTGTGAGACATGCCACGCCCTCCCAGAGCCCTCCCAGTGCTGCTATCTGGTAAAGCAGCCGGCTGGTTCCAACAGCTTTTACAACAGTGGTTGCTTACTTGACTTATCCTGTGTAGACAGGGATCTTTTAACCAAATGATGCCTCCTTTCTGTTGTCTGTCACGTGACATGTGTGCAATTTTCTTTCATTCAGTTTCAATAAAACTCTTTAAAAAGGGCATTCAAAGCACTCTTCGGGCACTGAAGTTTAACTAGCACTTCTATAGTTTTATAATGTATCCTCATCCTTTATATGAAACATCAATAAAATTCCTTTTTTGATTACTTATTTTGGCTTCTCTTTATGAACTCTTAAAGACAGTGTTTCTGATGGTGGTATGAAGCTGACTAAAGATCCAAAGTTTGAAAGTTACCTACCAAAGTATTATGACAAGGAAAACTTTCTTACAGATTCAAGTCCTTGAATGAAGTAATCTTGTTTTGTGCTCTTTGGTTTCCTAAAAAGAAAGCTTGTTTGCTTTTCTTTATCATTACAGAGGTATGTCATTGGTTCTTAAACTGTCTATCTAAAATAAAGCTCTAAAAATAAAATAAAAAAGAAATTACAGTCAAGAACACCTAGTAAATGGTTGCCAACAGTACAAACACACACACTAACGTTGGTCTAACTCATCCTTTTGTTTTTCAGAGTTTTGTAAACAGGAGCAGTTTTTTTCAGCAGGGCAGAGCAGCGGGAGAACTACTCACTAAGGAATGAAGAAGGGACAGAACTGCAACCCATGTGAGCATTAGGTATTTGTACCTGGAAGTTTCCTTGAGCCGTTCAGAGTAAAAGATAAGGCTGATAGACCCTAGTCTTCCTTATTGTTTGAGAACGTTACAATACTGGAACCATAAAAGTTTATAGCTCTTTTGGGGCCAATTGAGGCAGGTAAACTCTTTTAAACAAGGTGTAAAAACTCAGGTGATTTGGGGGCACAATCAATAAACTCTTTTAAAAAAGGACTTTGTTAGCAGAAATCTCAATGTTGCTCTTGTACAGGGCAGGATTTTTCCCTAGATATATACTATACTACAGTGTATTCTGGAAAGATACTAAATACGTTAACTTTTCCAAATGAAATTCTAGATGCAGGGACAGTAAAAACCCAAAGTTTAAAGTCTAACGGGAACTACCACCTGAACTGGGCTTGGGCAGGACAGGGGCAGGCATTTACCAGATGTGAGGTAGTTGCTTGAAAGCACGCGCACTCTAACAAAACCTCCAACACTCTGGAATAGTTTTCAACCACATCCTCACCTGAGAATTGCCTGGAGAAAGATTTCTTAAAATATTTATACCTGGGGGGAGCGGGGAGCTGGCAAGTGACATGGGTGTTCAGGGCACTGGACTCCCATATGGCCAACCGCAGTTCGAGTCCCAGACCTGGTGGCTTGCTTTCTCTCTTTCTCTCTCTCACTCCGTCCCTCTCTGGGCACATTAAAATAAACAAAAAAAGTTAATTTTAAAAATAATTTTTACCTATACCCTATTCTCAGACATCTAGATAAAGGGAGAGATTTTCCCTCCCAAAGATTTTAACAAATAGGAACTTTATCCATGGTGATTGGCAGCCTCGTTTCTCTTAGGTGAGTGAATAGAATTGCCCACTCCTCCAACAGGAGGAAGGAGCCCACTGACTGGGCAGAGCGGCCAGGGGGTGTGATGTAGGACTTCCCTCCCTAAATACCTCCAAAGTCAACAAGAAAGAGCCTGACAGCTCATGTCTACTGTAAATGCAAATTACCTTTTTCTTAAGCAGTATCATTAAACTAGTATAGCTCTTTTAGTTTCTTAGGAAAGGCATTTACAGTGTAACTTCCCTGAAGCATTAAACTTCAGTCATCCGAGAATGAAGAGCAAGAAAACTTTGCTTCTGTGGGTTTATCTGACCACGTGTCCATCCCTATTAATCATCCTGGTTATCTGCCCTGGGAACAAAGCACATTTTCACTGCCAAGCCTAGTAGAGCCAATCCTGTCAGAAGAAATCTCTCCTCTGACAGGGTGTCAAAGAAGAGTTATCAATTTCCTTTTAGTGACTGCTTTTCTATTGTATTTAGCTGCTGCTTGACTTTATTCTGTAATGAATGAAGGGAGAGGTTGTACTCTGAACATCAGATTATTAAACATATCCTATATGTCTGAGCCACCATGTTCCTCCATCCTATTTATGCATCATAGAATAGGAATATAAAATTCCCTCCTGCTTACCAATGCTCCTGAAGATGACGACACAATGACTCCAGGTTGGAATAAAGGTAAGTTTGGGACAGCCAAGCACCATGAATAAGCATGGTTCAGAGGGTGCTATGAATCCTGGCTGGCATTTACTGTGTGCCAGGGACAAGCAAGTCCCTTCGTTTTTCTAAGCCTCCATCTCCATAAGCATAGAGTGCAGTTGTTTTGTCAAGTCTTTAATAAAAAGAATGTTAAAGTACCTTTTTGTTTTGTCAAGTCTTTAATAAAAAGAATGTAAAAGTATCTTATAATAAAAGTACCTGGGAAAGAGCACTTTAAAAAAAAAAAATTCTACTTATCTGGAAGCTAGCCACAAAATAATCAGCCTGTGTTCATATGAATGTTCAAAAAAATATTTATTTATAAAAAATACAATGGGATAAGTTTATGCTGAGAAATGCAGCAATAAATACAGTTGAAGAAAACAGAGCAACTCTACATGGATACATTGGCACAAATAGGAGAGCGAACGCACCACCCAGACCTGCACGTCTGCAGGCCATTTTATACACGCCCCCTCGGAAACACCACTCGGAAAAGATCTCGTCAGCTTGGGGAAGAGAATGAGTACACGTATAATCACAGATGCACACTGATCATGACTTTATTTAAAAATTAGCAAACAATACTGTAAAAACATCAATTTCTAAAATGCTGCATCTTAGATTTAGTTGGCAAAGACCACGTTTTAGCAATAAGCATGAGTTTAGTCTTCCATGTAGAAACCAAATACACTAAACTGTAAAAAAAAAAGTTTGCTATTGTTTGAAAATACCAGTTTAAGTATAAGATTGTAAAAATGCATAGATCTTTAATAAGAGAATTGGCTGTACAAGAGTACTCCCCTTTCACAGTATTCCTTTTACTTCATATGCGAGTTATCGGTTATGCTGTACGATTTAACTGTTACAGCACTAAAAGGCAACTATTTAGGGAAGAGGCAGAAAAAGGAAAAAGGAATGTATGTAAGGCAATTTTTTTTTATTAGGTACAATAAGCATAATAGTGTTTTAGGAAGACAAGATAAAAATTACTCAAGGCTAGCTTGGTTCTCACTGGATAAAAACAATGGACTAAATACTGAACTTCTCTGTATGAATCTAATAATCAATGCCTTGGTCACCATATTGGTAATCTCTGGCACTCGCCATGATACTCCTCTGGGTATTCTTCCTGGTAATCGCTATCACTGATCTCTGATCCATTTGTTCCTGTTCTTTGACTTCCATCATGAATGACAGCTTCTGTGGGAGCAGCACAGTATTTGGGATCATGTACTTGCAGCCCAAGGCCATACACACTCATCCCTTTCTGGGAAGCAACTTTGTTGGTACCCATCTGTAGAGAAATAGTCGAGTTGTCCACTGGTTGTAATGTTAGCTTCTGATCATAGATGTCTCTTCTGGTACCTGGTGCCAACATGCCAGCCTGGTATAGAACATATATATATACATACACCAATTAAAACAGTGAAAATCGATTCTTGTATTTATAAATTATGAAGCTCTCAGTGAATGTGACACTATACAATATTCACGTGGTTCAAGGGTAAAGCTAACTCACCAAACTTCTGATACTGAATCACTTCATTTTTAATGAGAGATTTTTACTATAGGGCACGTGCACTTGCCGGAGGGAGTGGAAGAGAGAGAGAGGGAGGGAGGTTTTTTTTGAAGGGAGGGAGGGAGGGAGACAGTGAAAATTCACTTCCCAGGGAGATGGTCATACCACAATCCCTTGTCCTTCTCCTCCATTCTCCTCTTGGGATCTTGGGCCTGCATGCATGCACATGCACCCGGCATGAGCTGTAAGCTGCTGGGCTTAGGACTCAAACCACAGTGAGACTATGTGAGAGTCCAGTGAAATAACCATTATGCTATCTGCTGGTCCCCAAACCACTTTTATGAAGCAATAGCCACTGTTTTTCAGCCCTTCCTTCAAATTCTTACTCTCCGATAAAATTGTTAAGTGGCCTCAAAAAAGCTTACTTTTTTAAAAGTTTTGTAGAGTACATGCACTGTGCCAGAGAGAGAGAGAGAGAGAGTGAGTGACTGACTGAGAGAGAGAGAGAGATAGAGTGAGTGAGTGACTGAGAGAGAGAGAGAGAGAGAGTAACTGAGAGAGAGAGAGAGAGAGAGGGAGTGGGTGGGAAAGAGAGAAATCACCCCCTGGAGGGAAGGCCATGCCACAATTCCTTCTCCAGTCTCCTCTCAGGATTTTGGGCATGGCAGCACAAGTGCCTGGCGTGATTTTCAAGCCACTGGGTCTGGGACTTGAGCAGCACCGTTGGCTATGTGGGATCTGGCGCCTTAACCTCTACCCTTCCTGCTCACCCACTTTTTTAGTTTCAGGTTTCTCATACAAAATGGAGACAGCACTACCTACTTTGGATTCAGGAGAGGACCAGAGAGACAAAGAATATAAAAATAAAGCATGTTTGCCTACCTCAAAGTGACATTTGAATGCCTAGTATAAAAATATACACTTCCTATCAGGTTGTCAGGAGAGTCAAGACATGTTTTTCTACGCAAAAATGTAACTTTCCCTACGACTCAGTAGGTTACCAGTTTCAAAATTTTATACTACGTTCAACAAAAACTATGCCGAGCAGACCCTATGGAATGAATACTTTTCAAAATGCACTGATACACAAAAGAGCCAGCTCAAAATAGCTCCACCCCTTGTTTTTCAGAATGCAGGGGCTCATGCCTGGTTTATTTATCTCAAGCACACACTTTCAGACTTAAAGAGGTTAAAAAAGCAAATGTGAGTGGCAGCTAGGAGAGATACAATAGGTCATGCTGGGGTCATTAAGAAAATCATCTTTAGCCCAGCAGGTGGCAAGGTGATTAAGGTGCTGGATCCCACATAGCTGACTTTGTGGTCTGAATCCTGGACCTGGCAGCTTGAAGAACATGCTGGGTGTGTGTGCATGCATGCCCCAAATCCCAAGAATAGAGAGGGGATGTGACGCGGCCATCCCCGCAGGGGGTGATTTTTCACTTTCCTTCTCTCTCTCTGTCTCTGGTGAAAGCATGTGCCCTATAGGGAAAAACAAAACTAAACTAAACTAAAAATAAGAAAATGGGTTTTCAAAGCTTAGCCTCATTTTTGTTGAATAGACCTGTCTGCTTTCAAATAGTTATCAAGCTCCTCCTGAGGGGCTGTTGATTTGTTTTTAATAAGAACTTCAAAGCTTAATTATTACCAGTATTAATACTGGTGCACTATCTCCCCCTTTAGAGTTTCAGTACTCTTGGTCAACTGTGATCCCAAAATAGGTGAGTACAGTACAATAAAATATTTTGAGAGACCACATTCGCATAACTTCCATGACGGCATATTATTTTAGTTCTATTTTATATTGAACTAAAGTTCTACTGTCTTTATTGCTGTTCATTTTATGCCGTGCCTAACCTATAAATTAAGCTTTATCATAGGTATGTATGTATACATAGGAGAAAACACAGCATATGTAGGATTCAGTACTGTCCAGTTTCCAGTATCCACTGGGAGTCTTAGAACATATCCCACCTAGATAAGGGGGCCCACTGTATTTTGACCATACTGCATTTCCATCTACTCATACTGACACATTTAATTGGAATGCTAGTTACATCTTTTTTTGTTTTCACCCCCATAGGGCATGTGTGCTCACTCAAGAGAGACAGAGCTCTAGAGGGAAAGTGAGAAATCACCCCCCGAGGAGGGATGGCCATGCTGCAATTCCTTCTCTTCCATTTCTCCTCTCAGGATTTGGGGCATGCACACTGACACACCTGTTACGATTTTCAAGCCACTAAGTCCATGACTTGAACCTCAACTGGCCATGTGCGAGTTCTAGGGCTTTAACCACCATGCTTGCCACCTGCTAGCCCTGCTAAATCATTTTTAGTAAGACACCAGATAATTTTACCTACCAACTTAATTAAAAGCTTCTTAAACAAACAAACAAAAAAACCACCCAGCATTTAAATGAGTACTCTTTTACTTGGATGGTGTAGCAAGAACCCTGTGCTAAACATATCTTTCCTTTTCTCGTTAGGTAGAAAGTCCAGCTGTTCTGACTGCCAGCAAGATCCATGAGCCACACCATACTATTTTTTGCTGTAGGAAAGGCCCTTTGATTCTTTTGCTTTCCCAGTGAAATCTGCTTTCCTGAAGGAATATATTATGCAACAAATACCTTCTTCGAGCTTTTAGTTAGTAAGAATCAGGTGCTAAGCGCTGCCTTGGAACGGCCCTCTGTGTGCTTTGCTGTAGTGTGAAAGCGAAGGCTTACCTGGCTGGCTCCTTTGTTGGTGCCCATCTGCAGGCTAATTGTGGTCTGGTCAAAAGGTTTGTCGGTTTGCATTTTGGGATCATAGAGGTGCCTCCTAGTCCCATAGGCCGTCATACCTGCCTGGCTGGCACATTTGTTGGTTCCCATCTTTTAAGTTTAAAATAATGAATCGTAATTAGCAAAAATCAACATGTATAGCACAAACAAAACTTCCCGTGCCACTAAACAGAGGGAAGGGGGTGGGCGCAACTGAAAAGTTCCTGAGCTGAGGACCCAGGGTCGACTCGGTACCAACTCACGTCTGTGCTTTTACAAACATTTCAAGAGTTAGCTTTGAAACAGACATTTTTAGAAAATTCACTCTATATCGTCTCCCTGCATAACGAGTCATACATAAACATGCACACATGAGCAGACAGATGGCACACGGCTATCGCAGAGGTGGACTGGTAATTCCCTGCACTCTCCTTCTGTAGCACAGATAACCCAGCGAAGCGGTGCCTGCTCCTGTCATTTTCAGGAACAGAAGCTACCTCAAGCCAGGCAGTTTGTTCTACATGAGATGGGAAGGCAATTGTCAGGTGTTTTCTCTGGGAGCTTAACAAGAGTGTCTTATGTTTCAAAATCACCAACATTTTCATGAGAAAAAAACCAACTCTCATGGCACTGGACAGAGCCAGATAGGCAGAACGAGGAACCAGAACTCCACCGAGTTCAGAGGAACAATCATTAACTTCTCCTCCCACTGAGAACACTGTGGCTGTAGGGCCAGCCATACACTGTGTTCTACCGTTGGTCTTTTTTCCTTAAAAATAAGACTTACTAAAATAAAACCATTACTGAACGTATAAAAAAATTATTATAACAAAAAAATGAAAAATCAAATTAGGGAAAATCTTTATTATTAAAAGTCAAACCTGTTCACTGGAAAAGAGTCAGAAAGCATATAAGTAAAAAGGAAGAAAAAACAGTATCACCATCTATTCACTGCCCACGCCTGTGAATATCCTTCTAGTTATACTGTATGTATCTGTGTATGTAACTACAGACACACATCTATAGAAACATCCACATAAACAAAAATGTATGTGTGCACTTCTTTTAAAATAAATGACCACAGCATTTTATAACCTGTTTTTTTCCCCTGAACCTGTCTTTTCAAACTCTAGTATATCGTTGTTACAAGTTCCTTTCTTGGAGTTATAATTTAACCAGCTGACGACCTGTTTGGAATTTAGATTTCCAGTCTCCAGTGACACAATTTTATACTGTATAAAAATAAATCCACCTCACTTAGACTCAATCAAGAGAAGGCATGATAGCAAGCCTGTATCAGAATAAAGTCCAAAGCATTTGGGGGACTTAGCAACAGGTTTTTGTGATACTTTTCCGGAAATTGATGTGAAGGAAGAAAATATAAAAGAACCGTCTTCCGTAAGTATTTCCCAAGAACTAAACTAACGAAGTCTAACAGGCTTTTCTTGTATCATGTGTTACTCATATAACTAAAGAGCATTAAGGTTTTGTAAAACAGCCTCATTTGGTCAAGAACATTAAAATAACAATATGATTAGCAAAAAATTTTCATTTCCCGGACAAGCATCAAATCAGGTGGCCTATGTGAGGTTTCTTCTAAAATCGTTATCATTGTCTCATGAGCTTCAAAAAACACTATATACCAGCCCCACAATATACTATTTCTATTCTTACGAGGCTTAATGCTCAGCATGGTAAGAATTAATGATATCAAAGAAGTAATTGAATAAGTGACCACATTACTCACCTGCAAGCCAATTACACTCTGGCCAGCTTTTAATTTTCCTTCATCAAAACGTCTTGTTTGTTTTTCTGCATACTTAACTCCAATATCAATGGTCGTATGGAACCCTTTGGTTTTGGCCTAGACAGAAACATGCACTCACTGAAAAGAAACACTAAAATAGATATCTGCCAACAGTTTTTTACAGAAGGAACAAAGAAATGGTATGTCCCGAAACAAAGGCTTCATTAGGGGAGACCCACACTGGAGGTGAAGATATTTAAGGCTATTTGGTAATACACTGTGCCCTCTGAGATGTCAGTTAAAATTAAACTATCTTACATGAGGCAGCTGGTGCCAGCAGCCTTTCCACAAGCTAACAGTTATAGAAGAGAGAGGTCTCTCCACACCTGGTTTGAATCTTACAGGGAAGCAATGATAAAATTCATCACCAACACAGAGGGGACTTTAAAGTTTCTTTCTTGAAGGAGAGGGTGAAGGGGAGATGCAGAGGGAGGGGAGGAGTGGGATAAGGAGAAGGGGAGGGGGAGGGGAGAACAGGGGGGAAAGAAAAGCACATCCCACCCAATAGGCTCCCATGCCACAATTCCCTCCAGCCTTCCCAGCCAGTTAGGATCATGGGGGTGTGCTCTGCACGTAAAGCCAACCAGGGAAATGAAACCATGGTCTTCCAGGTGGGTCTGGCACTGCCTGAGCAGTGTGTTAGCCCTGCACCACCAAGGCGCCCCGTGCAGAGTTCTAAACCAGTCGTTGAAGACATGTACGTACCAGACCTGCTAGAGCCACCAAGGTAGTCTGAACTTGGGTCATGTTTCCATTCTCAAAAAGATCATTTGCTTCAAATATGTCATGTGGCTTCATACCATAAGCCTGAATGGCTTTAATAAAGTTGCCAATATTCTCCAGCTATAAAGAAAAACAATGATAACTTTGGAGCTAAAAATTAACATTCACAATGTCTAAGAATTCTAAGTGTTGAAGCCTAGTTACAAGATGCCAGACACAAAACTCCTTACCAAGGATTCTTTGCCAGGTACATTCTAAGTACAGATCTCTCTGGAAAAGCAGACTAAAAAGAGGGTATTTTTCAGCAGGTCAGTTTTTCCAGCTTGTTAAGGGCAAGACCTTCCTTACATATCTTAAGAATCCTGTGTCTGAGCTTTTCATGCTTGGAATTTTATCAAAAGGTACATGATTACTCATATTAATAAACAATTCACTGAATGTTTTAGTTTCAAAATAAATTCAGTTACTACGTGCTGATTCTCTCATATCTCTAAACATATACTTCAGATTAAATATCTTAATTATACATATTCAGAAACTAAGGCCAAGTCTGACAGTGTTGTTATACTAAATGCCCTACTTGTCCCTGGTTTACCCATGTGCTCTAGGTAATGTTTCTCTCTGCAAGCTGTGTCAAATCCTTCCTACAATAGACAGACCAAGGAAAACTCAGACAGGAAAACCTTCCTATCTTAGGACAACTTCTAAGCTAGACATCTAATAATTACAGAACTAGTTCAGTAAGTAATTATGGAAACATTTTTTAAATGGCAAACTGAATATAGCCATGAACACAGATTTCTGCTAAAATGATAAACTATTAAAAATTATTTTAAAATGGAACCAGCAGTTAGCGTAATGGATATGTCGCTGGACTCCCATAGTTGACCACAGTTCGCGTCCTGGACCTGGTGGTGACTCACGTAGGGCGCGTGTGCGTGCGTGCCCAAGATCCCAAGAGGAGAACGGAAGAGAAGGGATTGCGGCGTGGCCATCCCCCCTGGGGGGTGATTTCTTGCTTTCTATCTCTCTGTCTGGCGAGCGCACGCGCTCTATAGCAAAAACCTCTCAAAAAAAAATTATTTTAAGAAGATAACAAATCCAACAAAACAACACTGAAGTCAAATTTTCACTACATAAAAAGTAAACAAAGCCAGAGGTGGCTGGTTTGGCTGTTACCTGAGGCCAGTTTAACGAAGACTCGTTGACCTTCTTCACCGAGCCTGGCTGAAGCTTGTTTATGAGTCTGGAAAGAAAAATGTAAGAGACACCTTACTGACTGGTCACCTAGAAACAAGGAATGTGTTATAAAGTCTGTTCCTGTAACCTCGGTGAGGGAAAGCATTAAACACATTTGCGGAATATCAAGGTCTGGAGGTGGGCAAGGCAGATGCCAGTGGAATGGGCTGGAACTGCAGAGACAGACCCGAGGGTGGCAACTTACTCGCAGAGGATGATGCCATCCTTAAGGCCCAGCTGGAAGTTGGTGCCGATGCTCATGCCTGTCACCTCCTCTATCCAGTTGCGAAGATCTTCCTCTGCCTGATGGTCATACTTGGAAGCAATCTGAAATACAAATGAACTACCTTTAGAAGAATTTCACTAAAGCATCAGCTGACTCATAGCCTGCTCTGCTTTCATGATCCACCAAGACTATAGCTAGGGCCTGCGGGAAACTACACTCAGCAGAGGTTGTCAGGAGCTCATTCAGCTGCTACCGTTGAAGTAACGAGTACATTTTTGCTGAAGATGATGTCACACAAATTTTGAACAGCACATGGAAAGAAGCTGGGACTAAGGAGGAGAAAATATTCATTAAGATAAGGAAGATTTTTGGTCATGACACAGAGGATGGGACAAAGATTTATCAGCATATTACAATACGGCACCAGCCACAACCTAAACTTTAAAGGTTAGGTCATTAATCACTGTATTCCCCAAAAAAGACAGAAGGAAGTTTCTGACTTGTGAGCCTTTTTTTTTTTTTTAAAGGTTTTTGCCATAGAGCACGTGTGCTCACGAGAGAGACAGATAGACAGACACACAGAGAAAGGGAATGCGAGAAATCCTCCCTCAAGGGTGATGGCCATGCTGCAATTCCTTCTCCTCCAGGGATTTTGGGCATACATGCACACGTGCCTGGCATGACAGTCAGGCTGCCAGGCCTGTGACTTGAACCATGGTGGGCCATGTACAAGTCCAGAGCCTTAACCAACCACACCACTTGCTGGCTCTATGTAAGACTTGAACATAGCACTTCAACTGGCCGAGATACTCATTCCAATAGTTCTGTTGCCTGGAACATTCATTTGCCATCTACTCAGCCAACATACTTACATACTGCGTGCGTGCACACACACAAGTTCTGATGTTTGTCTTATACTCAGCCAAATACACACTACACACTACATACACATGTTCCTCGGTACCAGTTACTGTACTTCTAGTACATTATTGAAATTCTGTTTCTGTAGTCTTTATCCTAAGGAGGCTCCTTACAGAAAGGAAAAACATTTAATTCACTTTTAGATTCTTAGTACATAGTATTGTCCTTGACACCTAAACATTTAAAACTAAAAGAAAATTTGTTAGCTTTTTACTTGCAGAATGCTACCATTAAGGCAGCTTACCAAGCAGATGCTATTATATATGCTAAAACGACCTGTTAAATACAGGTTTTTGAAAGATCCCTTCATAAGAAGACCATGAACCTCAATTTTTAAAAAAATGTAAACACAATATTGTTTAAAATCACCTGCTCAAGTTCTCAGCTCTTCCTGTCCTAGAGTCCTTAAAGGGACTGGGCAGTTATTAAGAAGGAGCTGCTTGGGACCAGCAGTTAGCGTAATGGCTATGTTGCTGGACTCCCACGTAGTCGACCGCGGTTCGCGTCCTGGACCCAGTGGCTTAAACTCACGCCGGGCGCGTGTGCATATGTGCCCAAGATCCCAAGAGGAGAATGGAGGAGAAGGGATTGTGGTGTGGCCATCCCCCCTGGGGGGTGATTTCTCACTTTCTCTTTGTCTCTGTCTGTCTGGCGAGTGCACATGCTCTATAGCAAAAAACCTCTTGGAAAAAAAAAGGAGCTGCTGGGAGGAAGGAAAGATCATGGATCACCTGTCCTCTTCAGCACAGGTGAGAATGTCAACCCCTCGTCAGCAACGCCCGAGGGAGAGAGCATGGGCTGGGAGTCAACACAGCATTGTTGAGATGAACAGTAGGGATGTTTGCTGTCCATAAACCTCATTCGTTCTTATTACCAAAAGGAATGAAATGGCATCAGACATTCTAGTCATGAGGAAAGGAGGGCCTTCAAGTTCACAGAGAAACCAAGCACAGCTGTGGGAAATGTCCAAGGTTTTGGGTCCAGGACAGGACTGTGGGCTGCATCTAGGTCTTTCCAAGAGAGACCCAGGGGGCAGCAGATCAGACAGGCACGGAAGGCGCTGGCCAGGTTACCTTTAAGTCAACCGATGGGAAACCAGCACGGTGCCTTCAAAACACACACTGCCACACTTGATCACAGTCCTGTTCATGTCTGCCGACAGCTGTGAGAGCCTTTTATATTTCAGGGTAGGAAAACAATTCCATCTCCCAGGTCAAGTAAATGGGCAAGTCTACATTCCCAACAAGCTCTCGCAAGCTCACCACGGCTGAGCCTTGGATATAACGTGACCCCTCATGCTGTTTTCAGTGACCCTTTGCCAGTCTCCCCGCCCCCTCCCCCAACAAAGACAAGGCTTCTGCTTTAACAGAGAAAGCAAATGATTCGCTAATTACTGTGTCATTGAGGGAAATGGCAGTTCTAAATCCTCTGCTTCCCCACGCCCCAAACAGAGAAGCTCTACCCCTTTGACAGAATGGATTGTTTAAACTGTACATTTACTTTAACCAGGATTACAAACGGAACTCCGACATGTTTAT